CGCTCCCAGCCCCGAGGCTGCCGGGACTCGGGGGCGGGACCTGGGCGGGACCGCCTCGCGCTCGGAATATCCTGCCGCTCTTCTGCTCCCGTGTTTTCGAAGCGTTTTCCCACCATATTGGAACGAGAAGAACTTTGTCCTGCGCCCAGCTCTTCAGAAATGTGCCGACTTGCCTGGCCTTAAGACCACGTTCAGTTCTTGATGAGAGCACAAGATAATGTTTTGCACGGTCTTAAGGGTGTGCAGAGAATTCATTCAAACGTGGGTCAATTTTTGCATAACGCGCGTTCTTCCGTTTGCATTTTTAAACAGAAACCAAGGTGTATGTTGGTAACCTGGGAACAGGTGCTGGCAAAGGAGAGTTAGAAAGGGCTTTCAGTTACTATGGCCCCTTAAGAACTGTGTGGATTGCAAGAAATCCTCCTGGATTTGCCTTTGTGGGATTTGAAGACCCTAGAGATGCAGAAGATGCAGTTCGAGGCCTGGATGGCAAGTAAGTACGATGCCAGTTACGAAACAGGTTCACGAGGATAGTCTGCTAGGCTGGGTAATGAGGGGGGTGCTAAGCTTGGGTTTTGTCTAGAGCAGCGGTTCTCAACCTGTGGGTCGCGACCCTTTCACGGGGGTCGCCTAAGACCATCAGAAAACATATATAATTACATATTTTTGTGATTAATCACTATGCTTTAGTTATGTTCAATTTGTAACAATGAAATTGGGGGTCACCACAACATGAGGAACTGTATTAAAGGGTCGCGGCATTAGGAAGGTTGAGAACCACTGGTCTAGAGGAAAATGTAAATAGCTAATCGTTTTTTTGTTGTTTTTTTTTATATTTTATTGATTTTTTTTACAGAGAGGGATAGAGAGTCAGAAACATCGATGAGAGAGAAACATCGATTAGCTGCCTCTTGCACACTCCCTACTGGGTATGTGCCCGCAACCAAGGTACATGCCCTTGACCGGAATCGAACCTGGGACCTTTCAGTCTGCAGGCTCTGTCCACTGAACCAAACCGGTTAGGCATAGCTAATCGTTTTATTTGCTTAAGAAAGGGAGTAGAGGTGGCCTTCCAAGGGCTACAAAGATAGCTGAAGTCTGTGAAAGCAGAGGGTTGGAAAGTTCCAGATCCAGAGGTCGTATGTATTTTTTTTTAGCATTAGAATTTTGTTGCTTCTCTTTTACAGGGTGATTTGTGATTCCCGAGTGAGGGTTGAACTATCAACAGGCATGCCTCGGAGATCTTATTTGGATAGACCACCTGCCCGACATCCCTTTGATCCAAATGATAGATGCTATGAGTGTGGTGAAAAGGGACATTATGCTTATGATTGTCATCGCTATAGCCGACGAAGAAGAAGCAGGTATTTATTTTAAAGGAATGGTTGGTGTACTGGTTAATCAAGTAATTCTTTTATTAGCAAGGCAGAAACTAATATTTTTATATAAATTTGAATGTTAATTGTACAGGTGTATTTTTACAATTTTTGTTTAATTAAACAAATGTTAATATATTAATAATCAACCTGGTCAAAACCTTTCAGGTTTCTTCGTTTGAGTCAGTCGCCTTGATTCAGAATGTCACGAGCCTTATGATATGCTGAGGCGCCTTGCAAATCCGACAATTAAGATCCTCCTAGACCTTGAGGTGATCAGCATAAGAGGCCAGATCCCCTCGAGTCATCTACACCTAGCTTCACCTTATTCTTTAAAGGGCAGAAAATTTGAGTCGGTGATCGCCGTAACAGTAAATTTGGCTTACAATTGGGGCCCCCTCCGGTTTAGAAAGAGGAACACCAGATTGACCACATTTCCAACTAGAAAAATCTTCTTGCGTCAATCAAGCCTCACCTGGCTCATTTGGCTGTCAGTTTGATCATCGTTAGATTGAAGAAAACATCTAGATGCAGCGATCGGCTATAGATACTTCTAGATCGTCTAGATCTACTAGACCATGGGCCAAAGAGGGTCGACCTGCAAACTTGCAAGGTTTATTTTAAATACACATTACAGTGTTTTATATTATGTAATTCTAAGATGTAATTCAGCTTTTAACAAATCTCTTTTTAGGTAGTTTAAAAAAAAAACTGGACAACTAATAGGCCCAGAATTTATTTCCAAATGAGATAGTAAATTTAAATAGTTTTGAGACTTGATTTCAGCAGAGGGACAGACACTATAAATACGAGTTGCCATCTAACATTTTGTTACTTTCCCAACTTGAAAAATAGGTCACGGTCTAGATCACATTCGAGATCCAGAGGTAGACGATATTCTCGCTCACGGAGCAGGAGCAGGAGCAAGAGCAGGGCAAGGAGGTGAGAGATCTTTAATGCAAGTTTTAACAAGCAATAAAAAACTTAAATTGGAGATGGACCTAAACCTCTTTGATTTAATTTTTAGGTCAAGATCAGCATCTCCTCGACGATCAAGATCTGTATCTCTTCGTAGATCACGATCAGCTTCACTCAGACGATCTAGATCTGGTTCTATAAAAGGATCGAGGTATTTCCAGTATGTACCATTTTTTCCCCCTGCTTATTTATATTTGGGTTGTCACGTCTTAATGACAAAAGTAGAGTGACTTAAGGACATAATTTGGCATGATGGGGTGAATTTGAGACCTTAGAAAGTTGTTAGGGAAATAGTGTACATATGGGTAAACATGGCTTGTTTAGCCATTTACTTTCTCTTGGATACTTACCTAACAATCTAGCTCATTGGGTATGGTAGAAGCAAATAATTAAAACGGTAGTTCCTTATTTATTTGATATTAGACCTTGTTGAAAATGTGGCAACTTATTGAATCTTAGACTGATAGAAGGCAAGAGTGGCATCTTGCTCAGTTTTAGCTTCTATTCCGAGCCTGCCTAATAAGGTGCTCAGAAGGTGTTTAAGGAAATTACTAGTGTGGACTAATTGGTATAATTTTTGTTTTTAAGATCTCGGTCAAGGTCAAGATCAAGATCCAGGTCTATTTCACGACCAAGAAGCAGGTAAGGGTGAAAAGCTGAACAATGCTCTTGTAGTTATATGGCACCAATATCCAAAGAGTTCAAAGTGTTTTGAATTGTTGAGACTTCAAGTGTTAACTCTAAGCCTAGGTGTTGAGTGGGAACACGGTACCTTGTTAATGAACTAAACTTTAGAACTTCATTTGTACATGGCCTCTTCTGGATGATTTCCTGGACAAGGGAATGTCAAGGTATAGTGAGAAAGCAGTTTGTACCTTTGGTGTTAAGAGGCCCTTGTTAGAACTAATAGGTGCATGGAGAAGCATTCTGAGATATGTGAACTTTAGGCAGATGAATCATGATAAAAGCAGTTCATTTTATGAAGGCTAGTTGGAAGATGGGCTTTTGTTAGCAAAAGCTGATGGGCATTTTTTTCCCCAGTTTAATTGCAGCCTGACATTTTAGTTTCAGGACAATTTGGGGGTTCATTTCATGATACTGTGACTGTAAGGAAGGGATTGGTTCGTACTTTTTCTTAATAGAATTTCTCATGTTTTGACAGCCGATCAAAGTCCAGATCTCCATCTCCAAAAAGAAGGTAAGCTAAATAATTTGTTGCCAAATTTTAACTGTCAAATGTGGCCTCTGCAGGATTTGTTTGCTTCCTGCCTACTTTGCAGGCTTTGATTTTGAGCTCTTTGGAGAATTGGTGCTATATATATAAATATTAAGTTTCTTAAAGGATTGCTTTTCCTGCTTCATTATCACCTTATACTTTTATTGGAAATATTTAGTCATAAAATATTAGAATGACAAGATATGTTTAGTCCTGTGAACCCTTAATTGTATAATTTCATGTTAAGACACATGCTTTCCCCACACATAGGTAAAAAGGAAATGAAGAAAAATTTGTAGGTTGAATCTTGAAGCTAAACTATTATCTGTCTAGTTGCTACTTAATTACCCTCCCAAAGAAAAAACCCCAACATTCAAATAGTTCTCTTTAACTTAACTTTGCAATTTTAGCAAGGATGCTAATCTTAAGCAGGGACAAAGGATTTGTATATAAATCTTTTTCAGAAAGAGGGAGTGTGATAGAAACATCAATGAGAGAGAAACGTCTGTCAGCTGCTTCCTGCATGCCCCTTACTGGGGATCAAACCTGCAACCTGGGCATGTCCCCTGACAGGGAATGGAACCATGACTTCCTAGTTCATGGGTTGCCCCTCAACCACTGAGTCACACTGGCCAGGCTATTTATGAATTTTTAGATCTCTGCTATAGAAACGTAGTTCCTTTGGCCACCTTTGAATTTATTGAAACATGTTCGTAGGAAGAGTACGTTTCAGTAGACACTAATGGGTTCCAAACCTAATGTTTTTCTTTTTAGTCGTTCCCCATCAGGAAGTCCAAGAAGAAGTGCAAGTCCTGAAAGAGTGGACTGAAGTTCTCAAGTTCACCTTTTAGGGAAAAGTTATTTTGTTTACATTATTATAAGGGATTTGTGATGTTTGTAAAAAGTAACCTAGGAAGGTTATTTCGACCATCTAATCAAAATGGATCTGGATTATTACTCTGTAAATTCACAGCAGTAAGATAATATAAATTTTTGTTGAATGTATTAACATCTTATGGTTTGCAAATGTGAGTTTTTATTTGGCACATTTAAATAAAATGTTTCTAACTAGATTTTTGATCTGTGTTCAATATTAATACTTGGTAAGCTTCAGTAGTCAACCTTGATATCAACCATATAAGTACAGACCTACATTCAAAGTTTAATGGTGTGGAGTCTTCAACATCATTAACTAGTATCTATACAGTTGGAAAATTCCCTTTTACCTATAGAGGTTTGGGTAATATAACTCAAATCCTCCTTAATAGCATGAATGCATCATGACAAGTCCCTGAATTAATCGGAGTTACATATTATCAGGCTAATGATATCAATCTGTCAAGCTAGAGAAACCACTGATTTGCCTATAAATAAGCGTGACAACTAAACCAAGAGCTTATTAAAGAAGTAATTGGACTCAATGCTTGAACTGAATTATTTTTCAGCTCTAAGTACAGTGACAGGTTTTCAGGCTATTTGATGGGATGTCAATCAGAACTCGATTTTAGGAAGTTCTCAGTGTTACTTGAGACAATTTTATAACATTTTTGCATGTTTGAGGAATTGTCTAAATCTGGGACAAAATATCTTCATGTAAACCAGCTTTGCAAAATTTTCCAGACACTCTTCTCTATCCTTTCAAATGGATTGCCTTATTTTGAGCAGAGATCTGTTAATTCTAAGCTAGATTTTTTCAATTCCCAACCACCAACATAACTATCTTATTTTGCCAGGCTGGTACAAAGTGATTAAGGATGTCAAGCAGAAATGTTCATGAGACAGTTTTGTAAATCTCACCTATATTTAGCAATACCTTACGTAGTTTTTTGGTAGCATCAGGTAGACCTGAGACTATTCTAGCCAGTAGATTATTTAGACTAAATGTCTTTTGTAGGGCAGTAATAATTATTTGAGTTTCCTGGTCAAGCTTTTCCCAGGTATTCTCTAGTCTTGGTGCAAAAAAAAAAAAATGTGTGCAAAAACAATGATTAATGCTGGTGGCACAGGTGTCTGCCCTTGTCCATTTCTTTATGTTTAACGAAGTTATTGGATAGCATTGCAATGTGGGAATACTGCTCTGCCTCAAATTATTTGGTCTGAATGATCACTAGTATGTTGGGAGTTTGGGTACTTTGTTTTTGGAATTTTGAAAACTGGCTGAATTATGGTTGGTAAAAACTGTAATCGGCAGGCTTATTTGTTGCACTTGGTCGGCTTTAATTGTTCTGTATTATATAAAGATAAGTTACTAAAAAATAAATCTGCAGAAAACAAATAATCATACTCAATTTTTGGAAGTGGGAGTTCTGAGCCAAGAATAGGAATCATTTCTGTAGCTTTGGGACGGATTATTAGCAGTGTCCAAGATATTAGAATGAGGATAAAAGATAGTGTAGGAGGGGTAGGGGCAAAGGTGGTTTTAAGAGACAAGCACAAGAAAGTTCCATTCTTAGGGGAAAGAGAAACGTGGTTATTATCTAGGTGAACACCTTTCGTACCATTGACTATATACATTTGCCTGGATGTTACAGAATTTATGCAGGGGTACAACTCAGTACCCTTGTATTTAGAATACATCTTAAAGTGTTACACTTTGGTGTAGTGCACTTTTCTACTTTTAGAGGTTAAGACTACTAAATAGATTATGTGACTGACTTGAAAAGTCTCATTCAGACTCAGTCAATCTAAATTTAAAGCCTGGCTCTAATTATTAGGTAATAACACGCCAGACATGCTTTGGGCCAAGTACCTTATCTGGTCTGCTCAACCGTGTGTAGAGAGGTAAGTAATGCACTTCACAGTGGTAGTTCCCCCTTGGGCTTTGAGCTAGGCCAAGTATCAAGTGAAAGTGTGGTCCTACATCTTGCAGTGTCCCATCTGAGTACAAATTTGAGGGTCTAGAAATGCTATCATTTTGAGACTTGGTTAAGTAGTGGTGTAGGATTGTGATTGTCATCTTTTGTAGCTTGTCTTGAAGTCTAAAGGAGCACTGATTTCCAAGATTCATTAAACTAGTTGGAATAGGAAGCTAAAACTGATAAATTGGCAGTTATATGAATGAAGAATAATAGCAAAGAATTCATTAGATCTGGCTTAGTGAGCAACTGCTGCTTACATACCTTTGGAAGGCGGGGCTATGTAACCTGGAAGGTGTATACATAATTGGAAAGACATGAAACAAAAGTCAAAGTTATAAAAAATACTAGGGGCCTGGCTGGTCTTGGAGTGTATTGAGAACTGATGACAAGGAAAGATAACTAGGTATTAAAGCTGTTATGTCCAGAATTATCTTCAATAAAGGGAAAAAAGTACTGATAGTTTCACTTTTTTTAAAAAATATATTTTATTGATTTTTTACAGAGAGGAAGGGAGAGGGATAGAGAGTTAGAAACATCGATGAGAGAGAAACATCTATCAGCTGCCTCCTGCACACTCCCCACTGGGGATGTACCCGCAACCAAGGTACATGCCCTTGGCCAGAATCGAACCTGGGACCCTTCAGTCCGCAGGCCAACGCTCTATCCACTGAGCCAAACTGGTTAGGGCCTAATAGACAGTTTCAAAGCCTGATAGTTCTTTTTCCCACATGTTAACAGGTTTATAGTTACCATCCCAATAAAAATATCAAAGGACATTGTCACTTAATCCTCACAACAAAATAGTACTGTTAACCCCATCTCACAGAAGAGGAGATTGGTAACTTGGCTCAGCGTGTATGATTGGTAACAATACTAGTAACCTGCTAGGAGGTAGGAAAAGTTTGAATCCTACCTATGGTTTTAAAGTCCTGGCTCTTTTTAATCAATAAAACACTACTGCTTCTTTAAAACAAAATCACATTATGGAAAAAATAAGAAAATACACAACCAATGCTCCTTCCTACCCATTGTATATGATACCTTGGTTAATAACTTTCCAGACCTAATGGGGAAAGGATGATGAATAGAAGGATAATTCTGGAGCACTTGGAAAGTGCTTGGTGTTTTTTCCTTTTCCTACAGACCATTGGCTTTACCTATTTTCATTTCATTTTTAGACTTGGCAATATATTCAAGGTGTATACAGTGAGAATGCTCCCTACGCCCAACTCTCAGCCACACAGTTAGCTCCCAAAAGGCAGCCATTGTTAACCAATTATGTAGCCTGATCAAATACACATATTTTTTCCTTTTTTCTTTTAACACAAAATATATACACCTTGCTTTTCTCATTTAATGTCTTTACTATAAGTAAAATGGCACTCCTTTTTTTTTTTTCTTTTTAATGTTTTATACTGTTTATTTGCCGGGATGTTACAGAATTTATGCAGTAAAATTTTGTGCCCCTTCAATGTGCCAGGTACTGCTAGCCTTGGAATACAGAAGTGAACAAAGTATCCTTATGGAGCTTAAATTCTGGAGAGATAAATATCACCTCTAGATTCCCTGACTAAGGGGAATCTTAGTGACTAAAGCTTGAAGGTGGCTGGATGTGATCCTATACAAGAAATACCCTGTTAGTTTTTATTTTGGGTTTTAACATATCTTCAGGAAATCTGGATCACAGGAAATGAATCCTTTCATTGCCAAGGATAAAAGGACCTGGCTGTAGGGAAAATAGAGGTGAAGGCAGATGGGCCAGTTTTTCTCAGTCATAGTCAGGAGGGCAATCACCAGAGTTCCTGGACTCCTGTGTCAAGAATGCACTGCTTCCCTTGCTTATGAATGAATATGCTATGCTTTAATACTGCTTTTTTTCAGAGTACGGCTTGTTAGACCAGGATTCAGGAAATTAGGGCCCACAGGCTAGATCTGGCTTGCACTGGTTTCATACAGCTAATGAGCTAAGATGGTCTTGACATTTTTATGTGGTTGAAAAAAAAAAGGATAATAATACTTAAGGACATGAGAATTATGTGAAATTCAAATGGCAGTATTCACAGGTTTTATAGGAACAGTCATGCTCATTCATTTACCTATTGTCTATAGCTCTTTGCTACGATGACAAGGGTAATTACAATAGACTGTAAGTCTCACAAAGCTTAAAATACTCTCTGGCCCTTTATATAAAACTAGAGGCCCGGTGCACAAAAATTTGTGCACTGGCGGGGGAGTGGGGGCTGAGGAGGTGTCCCTCAGCCCCACTTGTGCCCTCTCACAGTCTGGGACCCCTCGGGAGATAACCACCTGCTGGCTTAGGCCTGCTCCCCAGGTGGCAGATGGCAGGCCTGATCCCTCGGTGCCTGCCCTGCCTCCCTGGGTCGCGCACATGGCAGGGCCGATCTGGGGGTTGGGGCGCTGCCCCAGGTCGCGCACACGACAGGGCCGATCCGGGGGTTGGGGCGCCACCCCGGGTCGGGTCGCACATGGGATGCCTGGATGGAGGCTGGGTGGGCTGGCTGATTGCTGCTGCACCGCCCGGCCGCCCCAGGTTGGGTCGCACACGGATGCCTGCCGCCCCGGGTCGCAGATAGCAGGCCCAGATGGCGGCAGGGCAGGTGGGATGTCGTTGTCCCGCCCTGCCTTCAGTATGCAAATTAGCTGCCATCTTTGTTAATTTGCATATTGTGCTGATTAGCCAATGGGAGGTGTAGCGAAGGTACGGTCAATTACCATGTTTGCCTATTATTAGATAGGACTAGATGCCCGGTGCACAAAATTTGTGCACAGAGTGGGGGGGGGGGGGTGTCCCTCAGCCCGGCCTGCACACTCTCCAATCTGGTACTCCTTGAGGGATGTCCAACTGCCGGCGGGATCGGACCTAAACCAGCAATCAGGCATCCCTCTAGCAATCCGGGACCGCTGACTCCTAACCACTCACCTGCCTGCCTGCCTGATCACCCCTAACCACTCTGCATGCATGCATGCCCCTAACTAACTGCTCCCCTGTCTGCCTGATCGCCCCTAACTGCCTCTGCCTGCCGGCCTGATTGCCCCTAATGCCCTCCCCTGCCAGCCTGGTCACCCCTAACCACCTCTGCCTCAGCCCCTGCCACCATGGCTTTGTCTGTAAGGATGTCCAGTCTAATTAGCATATTACCCTTTTATTAGTATAGATGTTTGCCAACTTCTGGTTTAGACATGTATCTTCACCTATTTACAATCTTCAAAATAATCTCTGAAGACTTTGGGTGCCAGGGTTATTGATAGGGTTTGCAGGGCCTTACCAAGACATACTTTTGTTAGTCTGGGAAGATTGTTTCTCTGTGACTCATTCTTAAGGAAGTGCTTCATGAAGCTAGGAAGCAAATTCTAGCTGAACACATTTATGCACTTGAATATTGGTGAATGTTATGAGAAAATAATGGGAAAGCTTTTACTCTAGGGCAGTGGTTCTCATTCCTAATTATATTAGGAACCAAGGAGCTTTAAAACCTAATGAAACCAAAATTGCTAAGGGTGAAGCCTGGGCATTAAAATCCGAAAACCTCCCCTGGTGATTATAATGAAGTTGGCAGCACTCACATGTGATTCAAAGCTGGGTTCTAAGACTGTATCCTCCAGGTTTCTCTGATCCTTTCTCTAACCAAATAACCCTAGCCTGGAATGGAACCTTCCTATGAAAAAAGGCAGAATCTGCATTTTAGTTTCTATTGGTACCAGTAGAGGTCACTGTGCTCAGAGAAATAGTCATCTGGAAAAAAAAGTTATTGTTCTGTTTAGGATATTTGGAGCAGTATTTACCAGAACTATTGGGTTATGCCCAACACCAATGCTACTCCAGGCATGGCCTCTGGTCATAATTATTGCTTCTATTAGGTGCATATATAACAATTGTTAAATCTGATGTGTTGATGCTTATGTCATTATAAAGTATCTGACTAGTAATATTTCTTGTTTTAAAGTCTATTTTGTCTGATATTAAAATAGCCATTCCAACTCTATGATGATTACTGTTTGTATGGTATATCTTTTCCATCCATTTCAGCTTATTGGTGAATATAGGTGTATATAGTTACTAGATCTTGCTTTTTAATTCAGTCTAGCAAAAT